GGTTCACAATCAGTAGCTATTATATGCACTGGGTCAGACAGGCTCCTGGGAAGGGACTGGAGTGGATCGCTCGCATTGACCCTGCAGATGATACCACTTACTACTCCCAGTCTGTTAAGGGCAGATTCACCATCTCCTGTGACAACAGCAAGAACCAGGTGTATTTACAGATGAACAGCCTGAAAGCTGAAGACACGGCTGTGTACTACTGTGTCCCTGGCCCACCGTACAAATTCGACTATCAGGGTAAAGGCACGCAAGTCACTGTCACCAATGGTAAGTCCTCACTGTGCCTTTATAATTCATTATCTTTTATTTTATTTGTTTCCTATGGATATAGATGGATCCGAGTAATTTCTTCTTCTTTGTCAAGTCCCACAAAAAGTTGTGGTGTTTCTTTTAGTGTTTGCGTCCAATATATTTTAGGGACTAAGTGCAACAAATGTATTACGATTGCTTTTATCCTTGTACGGTTTAAAATAAATCAAATAACAACAGGCTTGTATTCCGCACTCCTTCATCAATGCACAGCTATGCCTGATGTATGTTTTAAGATGCTTTTTAATGCTACGCTTAGCTGAAATATGTTTACAATCGCACTGTTTTAAGATAAACAATAAAACTGCAGTTATAATAATTTGTTATATTATTAAATTATTCTAATGTAATGATTAGATTTAATTGCCCAGTTTCTCTCAGAATAACGTATAAAATAAATACTAAACTACACATACAACAATAACAATAAAGGTTAAGACTAGCTATTGATTAAGTAAATTTAAAGCTACCTTTAATTTAAAATGAACAGATATTTTAAAGCATCTAACGAAGGAAACATTTGTCTGATTTAAAAGAATAATAATTAAACAAAACATGCTTTAGTGACAGCTGACTTCAGCATGCACAACATGAACTGGTTACATTTCATTTAGTAAAACATATTTGCGAGTTAATTATGTCCTCCTGTACGGCACCTGGGGTGAAGATTCTGGTCTCAATGAAATCTGAAGTTAATTATTTAAGTTACAAATAACCAAGTTTATTTCATGAAATTTGTTTTTTATGCATTTGTCCTATTTAGCCCGCCATATTCTTATTTTGCATGAATTCAGGGATGGCTTGAGTTATGATGGTAGTACACAGCCTGTCTGGTTATAAAAGCTGTTTTAGGTCCATCCCGTTGATCCACCTCGACTTCCCAGTAACCACTCGCAAAGCTGAGAGTGGAAAGCCACCATGCACTTATCAAACTGTCTAAAGCATCTTGAATTCGTGGAAGTGGATAAACCTCTTTGATTGTTACCTCGTTGAGTTTATGATAGTCCACAAATATATTGTTGTAAATTTAGCAGGATTTTAATAGGCACAGCACTGCCTGTATCAGTCTAATGTGCAGTTAGAGGTGGTCGCCCTAGATCACATTCCCCCTCACTGCTATCACACTGCAGCAGTTCAGGTACAGCCTGTAGCTGCTCTGGTTTTAGCCCCCTTATTGCGAACCCAAGTGGAGTCAAAAGATTGTCTATGAAGCAACTGCCATCCACCCCCAGCTCCACCTGCTGCCCCCAGTCTCCTGCGCTTTGTTCTGCTTTTACATCAGAGGAGAAGGTACCCAATTTCATGCCCCATTTTAAGACACAAGGACCCTCAGTTACATTAATGACCCTTACAGGCACCACCCCTGGTCACACTGCACACACCACCTGTGCCACTGACAAATCACAGTGAGCAGCCCAACCACACACCCCGCCGACAGTCCATCCACTGCCCCTGTTCCAATTGCCTCACTGTGCGGCCCAACTACTGTTTCGACTTCTACAATAACAATTTTTGGTACCTCCACGTCTCAGGCAGATATTAACAGAACTTTACCCATCAAAGACCAACATGTGATAGTCAGATTTATTACTGCCCCACATTTGGATAAAAAATCAGTACATCTTGCATGTAAAATCAGCCACTAAAAACTCAGCCACAAGGACCAAAGAGTCAAACTGACACATTGTATGCCACCGTCCTACCACACGCACATCACTTCCACTGGCTGCTGAAGCTTCCCTGCAGTATCCTGCTCCTGTGGAAGAATAATTAAAGGTTAATGGGGTTGAGTGAATTATGGGACTGAGGTTTTGTCTTAGGTCTTAGGCAAGAAGATGTTGTTGCATTATGGGATTGCTGTTCTGTCCTGCGCCTTAGGCCAGGGGATGTTGTTTGTTTTTTTGGACTCGTGAGAGGAGGCGTGCTGGAGGGACCAGGCTGTGGAGCACCCTGACCTGGCACGCGTTAGGGGAAAGGTTATAGGAAGGAAGACAGGATACATCTGGTAGCTGAGAAGGGAAGCAGGGGTTTGTGAAGGTTGCCATGGTAACGGTGAACAGAGATAGGAGAAGCTGGGAGGGGAGAATCCTGTTTGCGATACTTTGAGATATGAAGCCCTTGAAGTCATAATACAATATCACCGGTACAATTGCATAATCACTGTCAGTACAAACAGTCTAACAATAGAACAATAGGTAATCAGTTAATCATATAATAATAATACACACATGCAATAAACAAGGGTGGAGGTCAAGAGATCACTGCAAATAATGGCCATTCAAGTATAAGATAAAATCTTTCTGTTTGGAGACAGGATGGCCTAAAAGTGCAGTAAGAAAATTGTACCATCCCAATGCCCCACTCTTCTCCCTTCTGAATTAACCCACCCCTCAGGTAACCTCATCACCAAGTACTCCTCCATCATTCAGTGCGCCAGAGACACCAGCTGTCTAACATTTATGAGTACTCAGCGGTCAGTGACAAAGGAGTCAGCATGGTGGTCAGTGAGATCCGCGTCAATGTGGCAGACTGGGGTGGTCAAACTCATTATGAATGTGCTGCACGACATCAATCCCTTAAAACACAGCTAACTGGGAGAATAAAGAAGCCAGGTGTCACATTCTGAAGTGCCAGGAGGTGCAAAGAAATCCCACAGGCAGTGGAGCTGGGTGACCCAGAAGGGGACGTTATTAGAGTAATTTCAAAAAGGAAAGGATCTCTACAAGGACCCATAGGGAGTGAGGATGGGCGACAAGGTAACAGTGACCAGAGTGGGGAGCACAGAGAGGAGGGGCTCATTTATACACCGGGAATAAACAGGTGCATGTCATCATAATGGAATCAATCAACAAGGGCTGCAGGTGTGACTGACTGGGATACGGGATGGTTAGCAGGGGAGACCTCTGCTGGCCAAACGGGCACAAGACAGGACTGAGGGAGACAGGACATGACACCATGTAACACTGCTGCCAGCACATGTCTGTGTGTTCAGACTGAGATTATCTGATTTCCTGTGGAGTTTTATCTCTGCAGTGAACTGAAATAACTGAAATATGAAGTATCACTGATGTTTTCCTTTTGCCCTTTTTATCTTTCTGTACTTTTAGTTTCAACAGCATCCCCAACCGTGAGTCTCGTGACTCTGCCCAGCGGGGAGAGCCGTGTAGATGCTCTAATGTGTGTCATTCAGGACTTCCACCCCAAGAGCGTCACTGTGACATGGAAAGCTGGGGACAGAACTGTCTCAGGACAGACCTGGGAGTCGGAGAAAGGACAGACAGGACTGTACTCAGCCAGCAGTTTGCTGAAGCCAGACAGCAGCGTCTGGGAGAGTGACACTGTGTACACATGTGAGGTGCAGCACAGTACTAATAAAACCACTAAGACCATCAGTAAAGGTGAGTGAGCTCACAGCACACAGATACTGTTAGTGAGCATCTGATCTCACAACAACATCAGCAGACCGTTTCATAAATAATAGGCCAAAATTTCCATCTTTATTCCAGTTCATTACATTATTCCTTCACCTGCTTTAACTAAAATATAATGTTTGTAAAAAATATGACATCAATCCATCCATCTATTCAACTTTCATGACTAGTTATCCATTGCAAGATTACAGTGAACCTGGAGACTATGATAGGAAGTAGAGGGAACATGACAGGGAGCTGCCTGGGTGGGATGCAGGCCGGTCACAGGGGGTCAGTACACACTAACATACACTGAGGGCTATTTAGAGACACCACTACACCCAACCTCATGTGTCTGACTGTGGGAGAAAACCTGAGTANGAAGGGGACGTTATTAGAGTAATTTCAAAAAGGAAAGGATCTCTACAAGGACCCATAGGGAGTGAGGATGGGCGACAAGGTAACAGTGACCAGAGTGGGGAGCACAGAGAGGAGGGGCTCATTTATACACCGGGAATAAACAGGTGTTTGTCACCACAATGGACAAGAGACGATCAGACACTGGTGAAGGTGATAAGTACAGTCAACAGGGGCTACATGAGGGGCAGGTGTGACTGACTGGGATACGGGATGGTCAGCAGGGGAGACCTCTGCTGGCCAAACAGGTGCAAGACAGGACTGAGGGAGACAAGACATGACACCATGTAACACTGCTGCCAGCACATGTCTGTGTGTTCAGACTGAGATTATCTGATTTCCTGTGGAGCTTCATCTTTGCAGTGAATCATAACTGAAATATGAAGTGTCACTGACATCTTTTGCCTTTTTTGTCTTTCTGTCCTTTTAGTTCCACCAACATCCCCAACTGTGAGTCTCGTGACTCTGCCCATCGGGGAGAGCCGTGTAGATGCTCTTATGTGTGTCATTCAGGACTTCCACCCCAAGAGCGTCAGTGTGACATGGAAAGCTGGGGACAGAACTGTCTCAGGACAGACCTGGGAGTCGGAGAAAGGACAGACAGGACTGTACTCAGCCAGCAGTTTGCTGAAACTGGACAGCAGCGTCTGGGAGAGTGACACTGTGTACACATGTGAGGTGCAGCACGGTGCTAATAAAACCACTAAGACCATTAGTAAAGGTGAGTGAGCTCACAGCACACAGATACTGTTAGAGAGCATCTGATCTCACAACAATATCAGCAGACCCATTCATAAATAAGAAGCCAACATTTTCATTTTTAGTCCAGTTCATTAAATTATTCCTTCACCTGCTTTAACTAAAATACAATGTTTGTAAAAAATATGACATCAATCCATCCATCTATTCAACTTTCATGACTAGTTATCCATTGCAAGATTACAGTGAACCTGGAGACTATGATAGGAAGTAGAGGGAACATGACAGGGAGCTGCCTGGGTGGGATGCAGGCCGGTCACAGGGGGTCAGTACACACTAATATACACTGAGGGCTATTTAGAGACACCACTACACCCAACCTCATGTGTCTGACTGTGGGAGAAAACCTGAGTACCCAGTGGAAACCCATGCGGACACGGGCAAAGCATGACAACTGCACACTTACAGAGCGTGAACAGGAATCACACCTAGAGGTGTGAGACTGTAGTCACTGTAATTAATGGCTTAATGTTGGCTAAAAACATCCTGGATGGATGTCTGCCATCTTTACAAGCCCAGGGATTATTTCCATTGTATTCTGGCAATAAAGTACCTTTAGAATGTCTTTGTTCAAGATTTGAAGCTGGTTCTGATTGATATGAATAGTGTCTGAAGATCAGTCTGGCTGAATGACTGAGAACTTGAAACTGACCTCCATGGCTCCTTTTGCTGCTCGTCTTATATGTTCCTCCGTTTCTCTCTCTTCCTCTCCCAGTCCTGTCCAGTAGGTCCAGTTTGGATGTGACCCTGAAGCCCCCAAGAGTAAAAGAGATGTTCATAGATAACAGGGCTGTGCTGGAATGCATCATGACAGGAGAGGATGAGGCAATAAAAGAAGCTGAAGTGACCTGGATGTTGGACAGTGTACAGGTGACAGATAAGATTACACAGACCGGTACAGAAAAGGCAGATCAGCTCTTCAGAAAGAGCAGCATCCTGACTCTGGCAGTGATGGACTGGCAAGGTGACAAAACAGTGAAGTGCAGTGTGCAGCAGAAGGGTGGTCCTACCATCACAAAGACCCTCAGTTTTGGGCAAAAAGGTATATTTCAAACTGTCAGAGTTAATATCATAAATAGATTTTTTTATATAAGTTGAAATTCAGAGATGTAAAGAAAACATCAATATGTTTTTAACACCTGATTTCAGGTTCGATGTCGCCTCCTACAGTCTCCATCCAAACACCATCTACTGATGACCTTAATGGAAAAAGTGAATTCTTCCTGCTCTGCCTGGTAACAGGCTTCTATCCTCAGGAAATATACATCATGTGGCAAGTAGATGGGGGGCAGTATGAGGAGGGTATTACTGGAGAGCCATTCTGGACTGGGGATAAATACTCTGTCACCAGTCTGTTTAATGTATCAAAAGTGGACTGGGACAGCGGCAAGATGTACAGCTGCAGCACCAGACACGCATCTCAGGAGCGAAAGCCCTACATGCATATTCATGTCTCCAAGTCAACGGGTAATTCACTGGAATGTCCTGTATGTGAATGACCTTTCTGATCTGCGGCTATCTGTGTAAATGCCACTGAAAATCCATAATGAACAGAGAGCTGCAGCACATCTCTGTAGACGCCATTGAGTTTCCTTCTCCTCCATAGTCACTGCTGTCCTTATCTCACGTAGACATGAAAAGATCAGTGCAGTTTTCAATGGTTAAATACTCTAACATTAGTTACAGACTGACTCAGGAAGTCCACTCCTGTAGGTTTTGTTCACGCAGTATGATAAACCCTGACTTTGCTTACCTACTGTATTTTTTTTTTGGTCTTTTAATTTTAATTTCTAATATTGTCCTTTTTCTTGAGTAGTTAATTGAAAATCATTGTCTCATGTTTGTAGTCCAGGCTTGAATAGCAAGATTAGCAAAGCATTAGTGTTTCTTATAGTTACTGTAAAGCAGATAAGGTAATAAAATGTGAAAGAATGATTTTTCTGTATGCTTGGATTACAAATTCCCCTTATATAATTGCATATATTGTGTAAGTTTGGAGTTCAAAACAGCCATATCCTTCATTAAATTGGAGAAAACATCTATTAATACTCAACCGGAACAGTTATAGACTAAACTGCACCTGTTTTGTCTGATCTCTGGTAGAGATGTTCATGATTTTCTGTGATGTCATTCTGTCATATCTGAGTGACATGTTCCTCCTCCTGGTGTTCACTGTGTCTGTCTCTGTCCATAATGATGTCATCATTCATCTGCTCCCATTGTTACGGCTTATTGTCTCACTGCTTGGAGATGCAAATCTCAGATGGCCTGAAGGTCCTCTTAAACCACCTCATGTCACTGGAATATTGTCAGTCATCTACTGTATGTGGCATATAAATAAAAGTCACTGCATATGAGATTACAGACTCAGCCAGTAATTCCATTAAGGAGAAGCAGGGGGTTTGACTTTTATTTTTTAATATGGAAAAAATGCTTTCACACACCTAATACATGTACATCTAATACTGTTACTGTAACACTGGTTTCAGGTGACCGAGATCATACTAGTGCACCGACAACCTAAACGTAGCATATTAATTTTCCCACGTCAGTATTTTCTACCATACATGCTACACTCAAATTACACAGCAGTTACACTTTTATACTACAACTGAAAACGACTCTATTGTATCATCGTTTCTCAGATCAGTATTTACATGCTACCTGCCAGCACACTATAATTCTCAGTCGACCAGGGCTGCCACTGTAACTGTGCTGATGATTTGTTTCATCCTGTCATCTGGTTTTTAATGTCTTCATTTCAAGCTTTTCTGTTATTTAGTTCCATCCATCCATCCATCATCTGCCGCTTGTCCGGGGTTCGGGTCGCGGGGGTAGCAGCTTCAGTAG